AGCGAGCAGGGCGGACAGGGGGCCGGCTGGGTTGAGTGGGTCACCTCCCCCTCTCTTTAGCCCGTCTTACAGAACTACTTTCTTTGTGAAATAAAGGTCATTGTGTCGTTTGCTTCTTTTGCTAAGTTGAGTTTGCCAAGGTTTTGTCCTATGGCATTGAGCACAGCCTCCGTTTTCAGAAGCCTCTGCAGAAGTTGAGGTGACGTTCTCCGCCTAACAGCCTCATCCAGCCGCTTTATTGCTGCAGGTCTGGGGGATGGAGTGGCGGCTGCTCCGAGGGAAGAGACCTGCTGTAGTTAGAGCTGATGCCCTTGAACCTCCAGTGAGGCTCAGTGCTGCCAGCAGTCCTGTCCTTGGTCCCCGCGCTGCCCGCTCCCCAGCGGCGTCTCCTGTCCCCTCTCCTCAGAACCCCCACTCCCTGTCCTCTCTCTCAGCTGCTGTGCCCTTGCTTCCTGTTTCACCGACAGACGGAAGCAGTCAGACGAGGACTTCCCCGGGACCTGCAGCGCGCGGTCGGCCTCATCTGCCCTGTCAGCTGCGCCAGCCCTGCCCGGGCCACCAGAGCCGTGTGCAGCCCCACGCCCGCTGGGCTCTGCGTGGCGCTGTGTGCTGCGAGGTCTCCCATCTAAACGGCGAACCAGAACAAACCCCAACCAGAAAACGGCTTTCAAAGTCCTTCTTTTCTCCAGCCGTTCACCTCTCTCTCTGTTGCCTTTTGCTGCTGAGTCCTTAGCTGTGTAGGTCTGTGTCCTGTTCCCCCTTCGCTCTCTTAGGTGTGCTCGGGGGGGGGGCTTTCTCCCCTCCGTGCCGCCGCGGCTGCTCTCGCCCCGGTCCCCGGGGCCTCCTGTGCTCAGTCCCTGCGCCACCCTTAGACCTTGTCTTCCTTGGTCGTCAGCTACACTTGAGAGAGTCGGCCGCATTCTGTTCTTTGAAACCTGTTCATTGCTCTGCTTCCGAGAGCCTTGTTTCCTTCTCGGCTTACTGGTCTGTCCTTTGCTGACTTCCCTCCCCTCCTGGACTCTTCGCAGCGGAGCGCTCTGCGGCCCAGAGCGTCTTGCCCTATGTGCGCTGCTTGGAGATCCCTTCCAGGTTCATGATCCTGAGTATGGTCCGCGTGCTGGTGGCCTCTCTACTTTAGACTGGATCTACCTCCTGATCCCAGACGCGAGCAGCCAGTCACCTACTTGTCATCAAATTTGCGTGTCTCAAACTGGGCACATGTGAAACTGAACTGTGAATGTTCCCACAAACTGTCTGTGTGCAGGCCTCTCTGTCACAGTTGGCGGCATGTCCCTCCTTTGATCTGCCCAGGCCAAAGCTCCTGGAGACGTCCCCGACCCCCCATCTCTCGCATGTCCTGTCTCACCGCTGACAGGTCCCGCAGCGCCCCCTTCTGCATACACTTCGGGTGGGAGTACTTCTTGCCTCATTTGCTGCTGTCACTCTGCTCAGTTATTTTCATTTTCCCTGTAACTTA